GCGAACCGGCAACCTTCTTGCTGCGAGGCAACACTGCACCACCTTGCAGCCCCTTAAAAAAATGGATAATGGAATTGGTCCTGGTTTCAGTATAAATGAACTATCTCATGCTCTCTATGGAAGACGTCACCTGCATTGTCTTTGTCTTTATTTAGGGTTTTGTAACTGAACACAAGGGACTTTCTTTTGCATTAACAAGGCTTAACTGGATCACTTCAAATCAGTCTTTTTGGTCTTATTTCAAGCTTTTAGTGCTATGATGTCCACTGGCAGCAAAGTATGCTTGTTCTAGACATCTATCTAGAACATTTTTCGGTGCCTTAATGTGTGAACATCTGCATATTGTGTTTCAGTGCTGATGTGCTCAGCGGGTCAGTCGATGAACCGCTGGAGCCTGGAGGAGCTGGTGAAGAGAGACCCCGAGAACTTCCTCATCCTTCTGCAGCAGATTATCAGGAAAACCAAAGAGGTGAGAGGACTTGTCTGTTGCATATGTTGTGTGTTAATATCTCACAACAAGTGCTTTTATTAATACATGTTCATCTCGATCTCTGCTCACTCCTTCTTGTGTGAGTTCAGGTTCAGGAGCAGTGTCAGTACGAGCTGGTGGCCCCCCTCGCCATCATGTTCTCCTCCACGCTGCTGCAGGTACGCATCCAGATGTTACACAACGTTTAAACCTTACGTCGCCTTTCGGTACCATTCATAGTGTACCACGTGTGAAGGAGAGTTCTCTGTCCACAAAGGCCAGCCAGTTCCTCAATTCAAACCTCTGTGGCATTTGTTTGATTCGTTGCCGTGACAAAGGCCTCAAAAATACTGCCAGTCAATCACAACACTGATTTGCTTAAACAGAGCTTGTGCTTGTGACGGCACTGCGGTTTTTCAGTCAGACTTCGTTGCATTCACACTTGACACCGCACAAAAGCTGCTTCAACAGAACAAAACGTCTGCTGAGCAGGTTGGAGTGTCAGGATGTGCTGGGTTGTCGGTACCAGCATGAAGTGATTTATGTTTTTTTACAACTTTAGATGTAGATGAATGCGACAAACAAAACTACCTCACCTCTGGGTTACATATTGTTTTTTTTCTTCACTGAGAACTGAGAACCCCAGAGCTTATCTAGTTTGTCTCGCCACTGATACTGATACAGCTTTGAGGTTTTTGTACTGAATGTGCTTTGGGTTGTTTGTCTCAAGGCTTGTGATATAATAAACCAGTGTGAAACTAAACAACAGCACGTTATAGCACTAAAATGTACCTAATGTAGCCTGTCATAGGTGATAATGTAAGAAAAACAGATGCACAACATCAGTATTGTTTATTACGTACACCTCTTATGGGCCCATGAATGCACCAAATTTGCATTATTAAGAGCGTTTGTCATCTCTCAGGACATTTATTGACAGAAAATATTAGTTGCTTGTCATTTAGTTCCTTATTCAAACAGAACATGTAACTTTAGGGCATTTAAATAATGTCTGTAATTTATCTGAGACATTATAAATGTGCCAAAAAGGAAAAATAAATCAAAGAAAAATCTTGATGAATGATGAAAATCTACCACTCCAGCATACAGTCAGCGACCCATCATCTACACACCAAACAGGAGAATTCTCCCTCCATGAAAAACCAAAAACCCCAAGAAGCATCAAGCAGATCTTGCTGTTTCTTTGCACAACTCCTCCACAATAACCTAATTTTTTTCTTTTGCTTGCAGACTCCGTACTGTCCTCCAGACACAGAGCTGCTGGAGGAAGCCATCGAGGTGTTCTGCAGCTTCCTCACTTGGCCTGAGCCGTACTGCGGCGTGTGCAGGAAGCTCCTGTCCACGTTGCAGCTGGAGATCAAGGCTCCAGGTAAACGTGGAGGATATGTTGTTTTATTTTAACGACCTCTTCATGTGTCTTTCCTCAGGTTTCTGTTGGTTAAGCTTAACTGACACGCTGCGTTTCCCAACTGTTGTCGTCGTGCTCCCCCTAGTGTCAAGTTAAAGAAATGCACAAGACGTTTTTAGCAAATTAAATCTGCTTGCACCGACCACCGTTATCAACAGCAGTGACAGGGTGATGATAAGGCTTCAGGTTTAATGGGCACTTCTTCATTTTAATGCAACATTGTTTGAAAGCGGATGTAGTTTCAGCCTCGCCAACACCAACTACGGAAAAAAAAAAAAAAAAGCAGAAGGTGTTGGTGAGTGTTTCCAGTGAAATTTATAGAAATGGTAAAAGGAAGTGCCAAAACATGACGACACACTGAATGAATACGTTATTTAGATTCTCTGAATGAATCTGAGGGAAATGGAAGAGTTGAGTGGGTGCGTTTTGTAGGTGCATTTTTAAAATCCATTGTTAAGATTAGATCAAAGACAGAATGCTTGATTTAGTTAATTATTCAGTTCACTTTTAATGAGTCGCATTTTGTAGATAAAATGTTTTGAATATAAATA